TTTCTTTTTGCTTATGTGGTGCTGAGGAATCGAACCCAGGGCCTTGAGCATGTAAGGCAAGTGCTCTACCACTGAGCCACCTTCCCAGCCCATGTGAGATTCTTATCTCCAATAAACCACTCAGAAAACTGGAAGTGGCCCTGTGGCTCAAGTGGTAGAGCGCTTGCCTTGAGCTGAAGAGCTGAGGGATAGTGCCCAGGCCCAGAGTTCAAGCCCCAGGACTGACAAAAAAAAAAAATTATTAACAAAACAAAACCCTTCTTATTTCAAAATAAATTTTATTTTAGGATAAAAGATTTTGCTTCATTTAAATTGAATTGAGCTGAGCATGGTGGCATAGAATTTAATCCCAGCCTGAGGAGACTGAAGCAGGAGGACTAAGTTTGAATACACACTGTTCTACAAAAAAGACTCCAGAACAGCTTGTAGTATATAATTAGGCCGTAGGTCCTATTTCAGAAAAAGAATAAAAATAAATCACTCCATAAGTAGAATTATATTATTCAAACTTCACAAAGGGTTAAAACAGAATTGTTGGTGATTTTTAAATTAAGTATCATAAAATACTATGGCTTGAGTAGAAATAAATTAAGTCAACCATACATAATGGATCTAGAGCCATAGAGAAAGAAATGTGCTGACTTGTCTCTGTCTTTTGTCTGCCTTTATAAAAGAGATGAGGTTACCAAATTTGAAGGAAATTGTTTTTCTGATACTCACACAATGAACAGTTGAATACTCTAATTTTGTCCAAATACAACTTTAAAATGTAAATGGGCAAGTCAGGTACCAGTGGCTCATACCTATAATCCTAGCTACTCAGGAGGCTAAGATCTGAGCATTCCAGTTTGAAGCCATCTGGACAGGAAATTCCATGAGACTTTATTTCTGATAAATATTCAGCAAAAGCTAGAAGTGGCGCTGTGGCCCAAGTGATAGAGTGCTAGCCTTGAGCAAAAAAAAGCCCAGGAACAGTGCCCAGGCCCAGGGTTCAAGCCCCAGGACCAGAAATAAATAAATAACAAAAAATAAATAAGATGGAATATGAGAAGGTTAGACTTCAGAATTCAAACAATACCTTGAATTAACTCACAAAGCTGTTCTGCATGTAGTACCAAGATGAGTCAGTAACTTTAGTATTAGTGACCCAGTTGGTGCAATTCAGTACCATCTGCTTGGGTACTCTACTGGGCTGCATTTGTTCCAAACTTCCACACAATTGTAGAGGCAATTTGATTTCTGTCTTAACTGATATAATTGAATATATTTATGAAGTATGTCACCTACCTTCCTGCCTTCCTTCCTTCCTTGTGTGTGCCAGTATTAGGGCTTGAACTCTAGGTCTTATGCTCTTGCTTAGCTTTTTCTCTCATGGCTGGTTTTCTACCACTTGAGCCACACCTCCAGTTCCAGCTTTTTAGCAGTCTCATGCTAAGCTAGCATCAAACCTCAAACCTCAGCCTCCTGATTATCTTTGATTACAGATTTGATCCACCAGTGCTCAGATTCAGAATGATATTTTAATACATGTAAATAGTATGTAGTTATCAACCAAGTAATTAGTTATTTCTGTCACCTCTGATATTGATCATTTCAATGTGCTGCAAACATTCAAAATATTCTCTTCTAGTAAATTGGTCACTATAGTTACCCTATTGTACTATAGAATACCAAAACTTATTCCTATCAGACTGTGTTTTGTTATCTGTTAGCCCCACTCTCTACCCATTCCAGCCAAGGTAATTTCCTTAATAAATGGAAAATACCCATTTCATTTGAAATGCTTGTTAGTGAATTAATAAATAAATTCATTAAAGCCAACCTTTAAGGATTTGAATGATAGTGTGGTAGGAGGGATAAAAGATCAGGTAGGAGTCTTAAGTGAGCTCCCAAATAGTACAACATACTTTCCATCTTGTGATTTATTACCTCTCATTACTTTATATTAGTTTTCTTATACATACATAAGGGTTATTCCAGGTAAATTTTTGGTAGCTTGGTGTTTTCAGCAGATAATATGTGTGTATCACAGTGAAAAGGTGAGAAAAAAATCTTCATTATAGGTTCCACAAGACAGTTTATTGTGGAATCATAATCTTCATTTTGCTTAGTAAGCATGGAGTCAGAACAAAAGGAATTCATTGTGATCAGTGTAATTGCAGTGTGTGTATCATCACCTTTAGTCATCTCCAAAAGCCATGTCAGGTTTACTACCTGAATCAGCCTGACAAGATCCTCCTTCTGGGAATATATGTTTTTATTTGACTTAAATTATTCAGTGATTGGGAATACCTTTTCAAACCTTAAAGTGTCTGAATCTAACATTTTTTTTAGTCCATATTACTGATTTCTTTTCCATGAGATTTCGCCTTTCTTTACTGTCTCCACTTGTATACACATACTGTTTGAGAACCTCAGCCTCTTTGCACCTAATGAAGCAGTTGCTAAGCAAGTAACAGCAGTGTTGCCATATGACTTCTGATATTGCAGCTCCCTAACTGGGGGAAACTTAGTCATTTAACTGTTCACAGCCCTGGTGTTGTGGACTCTTGGTAAGAAATTAATTTCCTCATAGAGAACAATACAGAATCCATATCAGTAATATCTTGCTAGCAGCAGTTTGTTTTGAATCTCTCTTAAAGCCAAGTTAGTGGGCTGGAGATGTGGCTAAGCAGTAAAAGTGCCTAGTAAAAGTGAGGCCCTGAGATCAAATACTAGTACCACCAAAAAATAGAAAAAGTTGGACTACACCAGTGGGTACCAAGAACTAGCACTGATCTATTGACTTTCTTCTTATAGGATTCCCAAAAAGGAACAGACATAACTTTGACAACTCTTGTGAACTTTATGGATATTACCCAGAAGCCACAGGCACCACGAGGTCAACCCCAAACGGACTGGAAATTGCCATTCGACTTTTTCTTTCCCTTCAAAGCAGCATTCAGCAGAGGGGTTGACTTCCAGAAAGGCTCAGCTTCTCCCATCTGTATCCTGTGCCTCTTACTTCTTGGAATTCTCAACCTATAGACTAATCGAAGAAAGAGAATCATCAAATTTCAATTTTCCCTATGGGAAACTCTAAGACAGCCTACTTGGCTAAATTGACATTTACTTGGTTTTGACTGAAGGACACCATTTATGAAAATCGAACCTAACAAAGGAGTCTTCCTTGTGAAGCACAATATTTTAGAAAAGTAGTGAATGTTCCTGCAAGCCAACAGGTACAAAGTAGGTTCTCTGCTTCTCAAGATGAGAAGGCACAGAGCCCTCCTTCAGTCCTTCAGGTTACATTTTGCCTGACTAAAGATTTCCAGGATCATCAGCCATCTGCTCACAGGCACAGTTGGGCCAGCAGGAAGGAACACATTTATGCTGTCACTCTGTGAATGCAGAATGGCTGCCCTCTGGATATGAGCTGACTATTCAAGCTGGGAAACTGCTGGCTCAGTATTTGTCTGGCTTTTTTGCCAAGGCCTGTCCACACCTTTTGCTCAGGCATAAGTGGTGAAAGTAATTCTTTTTACTCAGTTTCCAGAATGAATGTGGGTTCCCAGCTGTTTTTTCTACTAGCAAATGGCCTTACCATTCATTCCTCTTCTTTCCTTCCCTTCTTCATGGTAAGGAGAAATAAAACTGATTTGAGATCTTTGTTGTACTAAGTCCGGCAACATGGTAATTTAATTGCCCAGTGACATACTTCATGATTTTTTTTTTCTATGTGAGGATTTTTTTGGTCTTGTTTTGTTTTTTTAAAAAAGGAAGCCAGACATTCCCTGTACTTAATTGTATTTTTTTTTGTCTTTTCTTTTTTGGTACTGGGGATCGAACCCAGGACATTGCACTTGCTAGGCAAGAGCTTGGCCACTGAGCTACATCCCAGCCCCATTCCCTGTACTTAGAAGTTTGAGGTAGTAATATCAAGTGTATGGGTATTGCTACAACAGTGCAGACCAGCAAAAATGAAGACCACATTTTAGAGAGACTAAAGATGTTTATTGCCTGTGACTCAAACCAGGCTACTGCCAGAAACAAGTTCCAATGACAAGGGAGGGGAGACCCTGGATTTTATACAAGCTGGCTACACATAAAATAGGCATTAATCAGATACACTAAAGGTCAGACAGGCTGATATCAACTTCTGACCAGGAGAACAGTTCCTTTCCAATACTTGTGCAGAAATCATGACATGCCGTTACTGTCTCTTCTGTATTGTTATTTAGAAAATATCTTTTGGGCTTATCACTAACAATTCAGATAGCCCAACCTTATTTGCCCCCAACTCACATTCCAGCAACAGTCCCACTGAACCATTTTTAGCAGCTGAGTGGGGGCTACATTCTGGCAACTGGATGCTGGAAAGTCTCCTCATCAGGAGGGGTAACTTATCTACTTCCGTTGCATTCCCAACTCACAAATATGTCTATGCTTAATCTGAACATTCCTATGATTTAAAGCTCAGTTGAGAGGGTGGGACCTCTGTGCCCATACCTAGCCCATGACCATTCTCTTCCTGCCACAGATATCTGGTCCAAGAATGGAGTCCAGAGTAGGCCACCAACATTTTCTCTCCTAGGAATTTAGAACCTCCACCAAGGCAAGAAATCATTCAGGAGTGGGCACTATCTGGATGTGTATGGGGAAGCCCTTTTCCACAAAATGTTAGTGAATGGAGAGCCTCTTAAAAGAACAGGTCGGGGGGCTGGCAGGGGGAAGCAGATATGTAACTACAATGTAAAGAGAGAAATGGAGGCTGATACTGGTCCTTAATTTTCTAATTCCAATCCTTGCCTCTTGTGAGACCCAAGTTTACATCCTGCCCTTGGAGACTCTCAGTTACCCCTTTAATTCATTTCTAAATGTTCCTCTTTCTCTGTGAACCTCTGGTCCTGTCGAGCTTTATTTCTATTTGCTAAGCAAAAGTAAAATCACTCTAATCAAAGTAGTCCTTTTTTTTTTTTTTTAGCTTATACAGGAAAGATACCCTGACTTGACTTGTTTGGAGAAACAAACTAGCTCTTACATCTGGTATTGACTTTTCCTAATCCAGAGTCAATAAGATAATGATAAAATAATTATTTTAATCATAAAAGCAGCAACAAGACAAAAAACGTTGAATGTTAGGTATTTTTGTATTTGATAATTTCTATTTTGAGACAGTTTCTCATTGTGTAGCCCCTCCGTGGCCTTGAACTCTTCATCCTTTAGCCTTTGCTTCTTAAGTGCTGGGATTACTTATGTGCATCACAGTGCCCAGCTTTATACTTGATACCCTTAATAATGCTTTGAGATAAACAAGGGTAGTGTTGGCTTACCACTATCAATTCAGATAGTGTCTGCTTCCTATCCACATTCCAGCAACAGCCCCTCTAGGCCACTTTCCGGCAACTGGGTGGGGGGCCACATTGCAGAAAATGGTTGCTGAAAAGTCCCTTTGACCCCTAACGTCATCTACTTTGATGCTTTTACTCTTCACCTCCAAAGAACTGCTCATGTATTTCCTAAGGTATTGGGACACCATCAGATTCCCAAATACTCAGTCTCTCCCTTTCAAGAAGTGAGTGCTGTCAGCCCCTTCCCTTGTCAGCCCCTTCCATTTTGCTCTTTGTTCCTTGATGGGACCTTCTGTCCAATCCTCCTTTCTCCTGTGGGCCATTGCAATAAAGTAACCATCTTCCCAGCTTCTTCTTTTTAATAGCCTGATCCTGTCATTCCAGAACTTGAAAAGTTTGGGTTCTCTGTCTTTAAGGTTCACAAAAATATTCAGTGTAGTACAGAAAACCCATTTGCAAGGGTGCCTAATGGTTTGACTCCCAACTAGACATCTGTCACACCCCCAGGCAGCCTCTTCTCAAAGGGCTCTCTGCATATACCATCTCCCCTTCCTCATGCAATCCTGCTCTTCAAAGCATAGTGCAAATGACAACTGTTTTTAAGCCATCCATGAGTCTCTGGGGCCCACCTTCTCTTGTGTTTATCAAGCTGTAATGATTTGCTCATGTTATCTGCCTGAAGCTAACTAAGGTAGGGGACAATGGCTTCCTCTATACTTGGAGAATATCTGGCAGATTAACTTGCTTTCTATTTTGTGCAACTGTAACAATACCAAAGACTAGGAAGGTTACATTTAAAAACAACACATTGATTTCTCACAGCAGTGGAGGCTGGGAAGTCCAGGAAGGTCTGGGACAAATGTTGAGGGTGCCTTTATCCTCACGTGACTGAAGGCAGGAGGACAAGCCAGGGTATGGCTGACATGGCTGTAGGAGAGGTCCAATCCACTCCTACAGGTCTTTTTATTAACCTTCCTAATCCCATTATGAGCATGGAGCCCTCCAGACTACTGCATTGAGGGCTGTTTCCATCACATGAAAGTTTAAGGGAAAGGTCTGAGAAGACAGCGAACAGTAGCCAGTGTTTGATGAATGAGAAAAAAAAAGTGTCATGCGCAGAATTAAGCACAAAGCACTTTCCTGTCATTAAACTCCAACTAGATGCAGTCTAGATGCAAAGTGCCTATTCTGGACTCTGCTCTCTGAGGAAAAGGGAGGGGAAAAGAAAAGAAAAACACCCAAAAACCTATGCCCTCATGAGATATTGAAATAATTCCAGTTGTCATACATTAAAGCTCTTGAGCTCAAGCTCAAGGCTACAAGCTCAAGGCTAACGCTCTACCGCTTGAGCCACAGCGCCACTTCTGGTTTTCTGAGTGGTTTATTGAAGAGTCTCAAGGCCTTCCCTGCCCAGGCTGGCTTTGAACCAAGATCCTCAGATCTCAGCCTCCTGAGTAGCTAGGATGACAGGCGTGAGCCACCAGCAACACACTTTTTTAAATGCAGTATTCTGGCCACTGACTTTAATGGAAAGAATTGGTCTTAGACCTTTGGGGGAAACTTCCAGATAACAAGGTGGGAAATTATTTAACTACAGTGCCCAAATTCCCCCTTCTAAATAGCCTGTTTTCAAGAGGGAGATGTTTTCTAAATTGATTCCACCTTTTTCTGAGGTGCTCCCGGGTTATAAACGATCTGCAGGGACAACAGGGGATGCAACGTACCCGCAGCCTGGAGGGTACCCGACAGCTTCTCGGTCCGTGGGGAAGGGCGGCGGCTCCAGGACACTTGGGATCGGTTCCCTCTAGGGGATTGGACGTTGCGGGTGCCTCAAAGCCCCGCCTCCGCCCCTATTCTCCCTCCCCCCCCCCCCCGGCGTCTGCGGGGCCGCGGGGGTGGGACCCGCCACGTGGAGCGCGGGCTGCATTCTCGGAAGCGTTTACGCCATTGGCACGACGCAGCTCTAGGTTGGCCGGTCGCTCTACGTCAACAGCGGAGGCACCGCGGCTCCCGTTTACTCCAACGCCGCTGACGCAACGCCACCGTGCGGGACGTAGACGGAAGAAAAAAAAGCAGAGAGTCGGCATCCGAAGCAGTGGGAGAACAGCGCGGGCCAGGCTGCGGGTCGAGGGCGGCGGCGAAGCAGGTACGCGGCGGGGACGGCGGCCTGCGCCTCTGCGGAGGCTGATGCGCTCCCCAGCCCGGCGGGAAGGCTGTGTGCGCCCGGCCACCGGCCTCCCTGGGCTGCTTGGCCACGGCGGGCTGCGGGGGCGCGGCCCCAGCAGGTGCAGGGGTCCGGAGGTCAGGTCCGCGGTGGGGGTGGGCGCCCGCCGAGGGAGGGCGGCGTGGCCGGGCGGCCCTGGGCGCTCCGCAGGGCTCCCGCACCGTTCCTTCCATATGCCAGGGTTCAGGGGCCCTGGGGTCTGCCGGTGGCTCTCGACTCCGTGCCCAAGCCAGCTGCAGGCTTGAAGTCTCTGTGAGCCCGGTTGAGGCCGAAAAGTCCAGAACCAGCCTCTAACGCACTTGCACCGGCGGGGAGGGTGTACCCGGGCTATGTGGGACCACATGCAGACTCCCGGCAGCCTGTGTCTGTTCCTGAGGTTCCCCACAGCCACCACTGCCTTGTGCAGCTGGGCATATGGTGTGTGGGTTGGTAGGTCAGGACTCCAGCTAGATTACCTGCTCCCGCACGCCTCACCCCTTTCCCTATCATTATCCCCTGCCCTCTGGGGTGGAGAGATTTATCTTGAGGCTGTGTTAAGTGGCTGAACCACGTACTGAGCATGCGTTTTCTGGGTGAAGTTTGTTGGGATTGAAGTTCAGTTCTGGTCTACATCTATGAGATAAAGTCTGTTTAGTGTGTGGACAGGTACTTAACAAATGTCCTCAGGCGACTTTTTCACCTGGTGAGATTGTATCTGCACACACACACACACACACACACTCTCTCACACACACACACCCTTCTTAACAAATGTCCTCAGGCGACTTTTTCACCGGTTGAGACTGTATCTACACACACACACACACAGACACACACCCTTTTGCTCTTGGGGATTACCAGTCTGCTTTTTGCAGGCCTAATAAAATTGGCAGAATAATTGGAATGAAGGAGTGGACTCAGCCTACCCACATCCGTGAGAGACAGGTAGAACAGGGGAAGTCTTCAGCAGGTAACGTGGTGGACCTTCAGCATTCAGAGATTTCACTTACCTTAGATGAAAGACATCTCTAATAACGTGTGCTGTCATAACCAGCAGTGACTACTGGCTTCCTCAGCTTGTGACAGATCGTGGAGGAAACAAAAGGTTGTAAGAATGTTTATACCTAAAAGAGAGAGGGGGGAGACTCCCATTTATTAAGCACCTGTTGTACCCCAGCACTGTCTATGCCTTATGTCACTTAATTCTCATAGTCTTTCAGGGTCTTTATGGTAGTTACCTTTCATTTACAAAGGACAAACTGAAGCCAAGGAAGATAAAGTATCCAGAAGACACACCACCACTTGCAAGTAGGATTATGAGCCTAAGTCTGACCAGTGACAAAGACCTTGCTCTCCATCATTTCACAATGCTGTCAGTAGGAAGTTTGTAAACCACTTGGGGAAAACAACAACACTAACCAGCTAACCTGGTTATTTCTTTCTGGTTAGAATGTATACAGATATTTGTCAATTATTTTAAGACAAAATGTGACAACTGGTTATATCCAGACTTGAAGGATAAAGTAGCTAGGGAAGGTTTCATAGGAAGAGGGCAGGAATTGTATGTCTGTCTTTGTTTATTTGCCTCATTTGTTTTTTGTCGATCATGAGGCTTGAACTCAGGGTCTAGGTGCTATCCCTGAGCTCTTTTTGCTCAAGGCTTGTACTCTACCACTTTGAACCACTGAGTCACTTCCAGTTTTCTTGTAGTTAATTGGAGATGTGAGTCTCAAGGACTTTCCTGCCTGAGCTTTGAACTGCAATCCTCAGCTCTCAGCCTCCTGAGTAGCTAGGATTACAGGTGTGAGCCACCAGCACCCAGTTTATTTGTTTTATTGGCAGTACCAGGGATTGAACTAAGAGCCTTATTCCTGCTTACTAAAGTACTATACACTTCAAGCCATTCCTCTAGATCCTTTTTTGCACTGGTTCTTTTTGTTTTGTGCCAGTACTGGGCTTGAACTCAGGCCTGGGCACTGTCCATTAGTTTTTTTACTCAAGGCTGGCATTCTACCACTTGAGCCACAGCTCCACTTCCAGCATTTGGATGGCTAATTGGAGAAAAAGGAGTCTCTCAGATTTTCCTACCTTTGAACCTTAATCCCCAGCTCTGAGCCTCTTGAGTAGCTAGTATTACAGGCATGAGCTATCCCCCACTCGGCTTACACTGGGTATTTTTTTTGGGGGGGGGTGTCTGGTTGCGGGGCCTGAACTCTGGGCCTGGGCGCTGTCCTTCAGCTCTTCAGCTCAAGGCTAGCGCTCTACCACTTGAGCCACAGCACCACTTCCAGCTTTTTTTCTTTTTGCTTATGTGGTGCTGAGGAATCGAACCCAGGGCCTCATGCATGCAAGGCAAGCGCTCTACCACTGAACCACCTTCCCAGCCCCAACCCTGGGTATTTTTGACATAGGGTCTCTCTTTATACAATGGCCAGCCTAGGCTATGATCCTGCTACTTGTGCTTCTCTGTTTGGAATGACAAATTGGTACTGTTGTGCTCAGCCATTGATTGAGATGAAGTCTAGAGAACTTCTTTTTACCTGGATTGGCTCTAAACCTTGATCTCTCAATATCTACCTCCCAAGTAACTAGGATTACAGATTTGAGCTTGGCTTCTGGCTCTTTTTGTAGGTATTTTGGAGTATTCACATATGATAATTGTTTAGCAGGTATTATTTAAAGAATGTATTTAGTCCTGTTGTTTGATTGTTTGTTTGTTTGATGTGAGGCCTGAACTCTGGGCCTGGGCCATGTCCCTAAGCTCTTCAGCTCAAGGCTAGTGCTCTACCACTTGAGCCACAGTGCCACTTCTGGCTTTTTCTGCTTATGAGGTGCTAAGGAATTGAACCCAGGGCCTCATGCATACAAGGCAATCACTCTACCACTGAGCCATCTTCCCAGCCCCTAATTATTATTTTTTAAAATAAAATTACCGTTTGATTGGGGAAAAAAAAGAATGTATTTAGTGGCAAAACATAGATAATGGGTTCCAAACATAGACCAGAAGCTGACTTCACCGTGCTACAGAACTGAAATCCACAAACCATCACTTAGCATGTGGAATTGTGTGCCAGGTACCATATGTATTACAGTAGGGATATACTGTTCTCTCTTCATTTCTGTGCCTTTGGGCAATATAAATTATACTATAAATTATAGAGCAATATATGCCATCCCTTACTTTTCTGTACTGTGGAGCTAAGTGCTACTTTTTCAAGGCACATTTAAGAAGAGAATGGAATATATCCACCAGTTTTTAGAGTACAAGTTAAAGAGAAGCCCACAAACAAAGGAAATATAGTGGAGTTTTGTTTATTTGTTTGTTTTTTACCTTGTAAAAACAGTTGTGTCCCTGTGGCACAGTAACATATGAAATAATTCTTCTCTGTGTATGTATAAAGAGTCCATGAGTGTGTGTGTGTGTGTGCGCACGTGCGTGCGCGTGTGTGTGTAAAATTATTCTTTGTCTAAGCTTTCAAGTTTGACCCAGAATGGAAAAGTGCCCATAATCACCTTGTCCTCCATGCTGAGATGTGTAGCCATGACCTCCAGGGGATGTCTTCAAGTGTCATTTAAGATGCTTGCCCGTAAGCAATCCCCCCTACACTTTTCCACTTCCAGAGATGCATTAGGTTTCCGTGGGCAGCAGGAAGAAGGAACTGGCAGTAGCCCCTGGTCTCGTGGCTGGCAGAGATCAAGCTGACCTTTCACATATGCAAGCTGTGTGTTTTGTTGGGATGTAGTAGCAGAAAAAAAAAAAAGAAATGGCTGCCTTGATAATCTGCTGATGACTCCTGACAGTAGAAGTATTATAATGAAGACAGTACCTCTGCAAACATAGCTTGAAGATTTTAGTTATTCAAAATATTTTGAGCTGGAGGCATGGCTCAAATGGTAAAGTACCAGCTGAGCCAGCAAGCAAGCATGAGGCCCTTAGTTCAAACCAAAAAATATTCATAGTCTTTAGTTTGCTGTTTGCATATATAAAAACTAAGGGGTACTAGAAAAAGAAGAACTAAGACTGGACCTTGGAAGGAAGCCTTGTTGATTCTCTCCTATGATACAGAGGAAGTAGCAGTTTCTCTAATACACTAGAGTTTGGAGGAGGAGGATCATATTTTTACTCTGAGAGTATGGGGAGTGGAGGGAAAAGAAAATGAATTGTCTGATATTTGCCATTAATGTTGTTTTTCACACATTTTTATTTGTGTACATTAATTGTACAGTATGGGCAGTTTCATTAAGATATTTCCATACATGTATACAATAGACCTCGATCATATTCATCCTCTTGCTATTTTTTTTAATATATTCTGTAGATACTTGGGTTTGTGGCCACATCTCAGCATGTTGAGTCAAGTTTGCTGCTCCAGGTTCCAGCCCTTCAGTCAACGTCTTCTGCCCTGGGTCCAGTCCACAGTCTCCAGATCTCGTATGTATCATTGATGAGTAGGGTGGAAAGTTTGTGTTCAGTATATGTTTCAGGGTTATAAGAGGGGTAGGAGGAGATGTAGTTTGGAAGAACTGCACAAAAACAAGGCTACCTGGTGGTGAAATATTCTAAGTTATTTATATTTGTCAACAAAGTGATCTCTGTATTCATTCATCTCAATATTCATATAGGCTGGGCTTTTTTGTTTGTTTACCATTTTAAATATAATTATAGCGGGGTACCGGTGCCTTATACCTGTAATTGTAGCTACTCAAGAGGCTGAGATCTGAGGATTTTGGTTCAAAGCCAGCCCTGGCAAAAAAGTCCCTATGAGACTTTTAGCCCCAATAAACTACTAAAAAAAAAAACAAAACTGGAAGTGGTACTATGGCTCAGGGATAGCACCCAGACCCAGAGTTCAAGTCCCGGGGCTGGCAAAATAATAATAATAGTAATAGTAATAATAGTAAATAAAATATAATTATGTGTTTTAATTTTGAGATAATTATAGATTCTGTTAAGGGCTAGGAATGGTGGTACACAACTATAATCCCAGTAATAGCTGTAATTAGGAAGAGAAGACAGAAAGATCCATTTTTAGTTGGATTCTTTTGTGTTTCCTCTTGAACTTTGGAAATTCTTTATATCTTATAGATATTGGTATTTTGCAAATATGTGCAGATATTCATACATATTTGCATATATAAGTATTTGCACATCTGCAAATATTTCTTCCCAGTTTGTTCATTTGTCATTCATTCTCTCAACAGGTTCTTACACAGAGCAAAGTTTTTGTTGTTAGTTGTTTTTTTAATTTGGATGACGTCCAGCTAGTTAGCTTTTCTTTCAATGAATTATACTTTTTTGATCAAGTCTAAGAAATCTGTGCATATAATTTCACATTTTACATTTAACTTCAATATCCATTGAGTTAAGTTTTGTATGAAGTATGAAATTAAGGTCTAGGTTCTTTTTTTTTTGTCAGTCGTGGGGTTTGACCTCTGGGCCTGGGCACTGTCCCTTAGCTCTTCAGCTCAAGGCGCTCTACCACTTGAACTACACCGCCACTTCTGGTTTTCTGTGGCTTATTGGAGTTAAGAGTCTCATGGACTTTCCTGCCCAGGCTGGCTTTGACTCGCAATCCTCAGATCTCAGCTTCCTGAGTAGCTAGGATTACAGGTGTGAGCTACTGGCACCCAGCTTCATTTTTTGAACTATGGATACCAGATTTCTCATCTTCATCTGTTGAGGAGTTGTTCATAATATTTTGAGTTGGCCATCTCTTTGATATCACTTATTTTATGTGTGCTAGCACTGGTGCTTGAACTCAGAACCTCACACTCTTGCTCAACTTTCTGAAGGCTTGAATTCTACCACTTGAACCATACTTCTATTTCTCAGATTTTTGCTGGTTAGTTGAATTTCTCAGAACTGTCTGTTTGGGCTGGCTTTGAACCATGATCTTCAGATCTCAGCCTCCTGTGTAGCTAGTATTACAGGTATGAGCCATCTGCACCTGGCTTAAAACTTTACCAGTAGTCTATCTCTAGGTCTCACTGTAAGTTGACTTGCTTATCATCATCTAGAAAAATTTATTTCATATTGGTGTAAGAGTAGAAGAGCTACAAGTTTAGGATCTAGAGCTAACCTCCTTGAGCTTGAAAACAAGCTTAATTGCTTAAAATTGAATACTGACTTAAAACAGTGACTGTGTGTGTATAGAGAGGTCACAGTTCTGTGGGTTGGCGTTTTGGGCCAGGCTTAGCTTGCAGTTGTTTGTGTCAGCTCTCAGACTGGCTTGGCGCTGATTACTGAGGACCAGGGGGCCCCTTGTGTGGGATCCTGGTTCATCAGTGTTCCATATGGACTCCATCCTTTAGCAAGCTAAAGGATATCCATCGCTTCTTCACATGTTCTGTGGGATCCCAACAACAGCAAGAATGGAAGTCGCAATGCTTCTTGAGTCTTATGCCAGAAATGTATGCAGTGTTGCTTCTGCTGCATTGTCCTGGTCCAAGAAGTCACCAGGCCAGCCCAGATCAAAGGAGTAGTCAAATAGATTCCACCTGTTAATGGTAGAAACTGCAAACTATTGTGGCCATTCTGTAATTTGGTAATGTTGGTAAATTACTTAATTTCTTTTCCCTCCTTATTTACAAAATAAGACATAATATCAATAATAATAATGCATAAAGCTTCTCTGCTATGACAAAATAACCTGAAAAAACTCGGCCTAAAGGAGGAATGACTTAATGATTATATGGTTTGGGTATTTCAGCCCATGGATGACTGTCTCCATTGCTTTCAGTCCTGTGCAAGGTGGCATGGAAGAAAGGCATGGTGGGGGGAGTTGTTCTCATAGCCACAAGAAATTAAAGAGAGAGAAAGGAGCCAGAGATGAAATTTGTCCTTGAAAGGCATGTCCCCACCAAGCTTCCTCCAGCTAGACCCACCTGCTAACAGCCCATTCTGCTATGAACTTATCAATAGATTAATCCTTTTTTTTTGGTCAGTTGTAGAGCTTGAACTCTGGGCCTGGACGCTGTCCCTCAGCTATTTAGCTCAAGGCTAGCGCTCTACCACTTGAGCTACACCACTACTTCTGGTTTTCTAGTGGCTTATTGGAGATAAGAGTCTCACAGACTTTCCTGCCTGCACTGGCTTTGAACTGTGATCCTCAGCTCTCAGCCTTCTTAGTAGCTAGGATTATAGGCAGGAGCCACTGGCACCCGGCAGATAAATCCTGTAGTGAAGTTAATACCCTATGGAAGAATCACCTCTCAGTTGTGCCACCAGCACAAGGCTTCAGTACTTGAGCCTCTAGGGAGACACTTTGTCTCCAAACAGTGATGATAATGATGGCTAACATGTTCTTAGAATCCCAGCTAATGTTGAGTGTTTACTTTGTGCCAATTTCTGCTTATTCATTAACTTGCTCCATCTCTCATAACGACCTTATGGAGTAGATAAGGTAGCAAGTGAGCAGATAGAGATACTGAATTATATGTAGCTATGCTATCCAGGACTAATATAGTATATATACCATATATGATTTCTGTAGTGTGTGCATTTTTAGTATTCACTGAACATAATGATCAGAAGAGCAGAAAATAGGCAAAGTGAAAAGGTATATAGAAAAGAACAACAACAGGGGAGGGAAGTCATGCTAGGTCCCTTCTTCTTGTGGCTTCAAAGACAGCTTCATTGATTACTGATCATGGTGAGATAAAGGACTTTACTGACATATAACTCATAGCACTTTTGAAGAGTATGGATAACCATCTTCCCACCCCTCCACACTTATTATCTCCTCAGACCTACTAGAGAAAAAGACTGACCTAGGGGCTTAGAGCCTGATTGTTCATGCAGATGTTGTAGATTTTCCTTGTATCAGTCAGTTTCTTATCACCGTGACAAAATACCTGAGAAAAATCTGTTAAAGTATGGAAAGGTTTCTAAGGTTTCTGTTTATAGTCTCCTGGGCCTGATGCCCTTGGGCCTGTGGTGAGGTAACTTGCCATGGTGGAAGTATGTGAGTAAGGAACTGTTTATATCGTGGTGGCCAGGAAGCAAGAGAGAAAAGAGGAGCTAGAGTCCTCCTGTGCTCTTCGTGGGTACACCCCCATGACATTAACTTCCTCCCACTAGCTCCCACCGTCGAAAGCATGGATGGGCACCTTTTTTCTCTGGTAAGGGCCATTAGAATTTTTTTTAAGTATGTATATTTTTTTCAAAAAATATTATTGTGTGTCACTGGGGTTTTGAACTTAATGCCTTGCTGTCATCCAGCTTGTTTGCTCAGCTGGTACTCTACCACTTGAGCCAGCCTCTAACCCAGCTTTTTGCTGGCTATTTTCTACTCATACTCCCTTTGAACTAAGATACTATAGATCTCAACTTCCTGCGTAATTGAGATTACAAGCATGAAACACCAGTACTGAGCACCATTTGAATGTTTATAACATCATTACAGGTCATACAAAATTAACCGTAGAGGCAGATATACAGGCAGCTAGTGAAAAGCATTACATTGTACCCCATGATTCCATGGGCCTTATAGGGTCTGTGGGCCAGATGAAGGTTGCCTACCTTTGCAAGGTTACGCTGTCTCCCAGTGACACCACAGCCTGGCCACCAACCCTTTAGCACGTGTCAGGTCCAAGCCATAACAGTCCTCAGTGCTAACTGTAAAAAGCCTCATACACTATAGAACATAAAGGATGTTCCCAAGAAAGATAGAGCCAGTCTGGGAACGTAAATGGCATTGCCAACCAACTCCCCAAATTCCTGCACTCCTTAATACTAGGACCTACTGGACTTTACTTTTTCTTTTTTTAATTGTGAAAATACAGTACAGAGGGGTTACAATTACATGGGCAAGATAATGAGTACAAATTATCAAGCATTGTTGCCTCCCCCTTTGTTTCCCCTTCCCATCCTTTCCCATCTCCTACCCCCCCCCCCCCCCCCCCCCCCCCCCCCCCCCCCCCCCCCCCCCCCCCGCCAACCCTCCTGGACTTTACTTTTTCATCCACTTGGAACCTTGCTGATAGTTGTGACCTCCTCTTGAACTTTGTCAGTTCTAATATGCTGTGACCCAATTGTCTGCAGCCAAAATGACCCGCAGCTGCTGGGCTCTGAGCCAACACCCTCTTCTGATACAGACTGTGAGTAACCCCTCTCATTCATGCTAGCCAGGCTGTGGGGTCCTGATTGGCTTCTACCATTTGATCACCTGGACTTGGAAGCTGGCACTGTCTGCCCCTGAGGTCCTCCATCAAGCTGCCATACCCCTGCCCATACCTTTCTGTAGAACAAGACAGGCCCTGCAGTGGACATCAGAGTCAAATGGCTAGCAGGTGTCGTCCTAACAGCTTCCAAAGAGATTCGTCTTAGTGCTGCACTGACCTCTGCAAGCACCACTGAGGATCACAGGCCCAAACCCAAGGGAGTCTCTTCACCTATCAAGTACGGAGACCAAACCTGCATGTGTACAACTTTGAAACTAGGCTTAGGTGTGCACATTGTTTAGGATGGTATCCCTGAAGACTGAGGTACTTAACTAAGGTAGTGAAGAGGGAAGCCCAGACAACTTCCCCTAGCAAGGGGACAGTGCACCTGTGGATGTAGCAAGGATGCCAGAGTCCCATGTGATCACGGGTTCTCCTTGTCTGAGCAACAGGGTACCAGGAGCTAGATGGCAAGCTTATTGTGAATAAGGTCAGATTTTTTTGTTTTGTTTTTTTGTGTCCATCCTGAGGCTTGAACTCAGGGCCTGGACACTATCCTTGAGCTTTTGTTCTCAAGACTAGGGCTCTACCACTAGAGCCACAGCTTTACTTGCAGCTTTTTAGTGATTAATTGGTATAAGAGTTTTAGACTTTGCTGCCTGGGCTGGCTTTGGACTGAGATCATCATATCTCAGCCTCCTGAGTAGCTAGGATTACAGGTGTGAGCCACCAGCACCTGGCTTCTAGAATATATTTTAAACATGGAATGTGGCATGAGAAAACTGGACACTTTAAAATCTTGTATTTTACCAGTATGTTTTCAGAAAAGATTATTTTATTTATACTCATTACCACTGTGTTTGAATGTGCCTGTGACAGGGTTCTGGATGGGACTCTGAATAGAAGTAGAATGAGAGCACGTTACATATAGTTCAGGTTTTTTGTCTGTTTCATTTTTGTTCTGAGAAAGGGTATCACTATGTAGCTCATGCTGGCCACAAACTTGAGATCTTTTTGCCTCAGTCTCTAGAGAACTGGGGTTACAGGTGTGTACCACCATGTTTGGATAGGTATAGTTTGGAGGAGTGTGTGTGTGTGTGTGTGTGTGTGTGTGTGTGTGTGTGTGTGTGTGTGTGTTGTGGGGCTTGAACTCAGGGCCTGGGTGCTATCCCTGAGCCTCTTTGTGCTTAAGGCTAGTGCTGTACCACTTGAGCCACAGTGCCACTTCTGGCTGGTGAGTAGTTAATTGGAAATTAACTAGTAGTTAATTAACTAGTAGTTAATTTCCAATTAACTACTCACAAGAACCTGTCTGCCGAAGTTGGCTTTGAACCATGATCCTCAGATCTCAGCCTCCTGAGTAGCTAGGATTATGGGCATGAGCCACCAGCACTGGCTCTTTTTTGAGACATGGTATCTTGAACTCCTGGTCCTTCTGCCTCATGTTCCTAAGTGCTGTGATTATAGACATGTACCACCATGCCTAACTTAGGTATAGTTTGATATACTGGTTTCACTCAGGTAATGATGTAAAGCTATTTTTGGTGAATGGCTGATACTGTGAATTCAAAATTTCACTGGAAACTATAGTCTCTTTTTTCTTTCTTTTATTTGGCTTTGTTTGGGGAATACAGATCGTGTCCAGCCTCCAGCTGCCACACATGTCCGTTCTTGGAGCAACATCCCCTTTATCACGGTACCCCTCAGTCGTACGCATGGCAAGTCCTTTGCCCACCGCAGTGAGCTGAAGCATGCCAAGAGAATCGTGGTGAAACTGGGCAGTGCCGTGGTGACCCGAGGGGATGAGTGTGGCCTGGCTCTGGGGCGCCTGGCCTCTATTGTTGAGCAGGTAATTGCCAAGATGAGAAATTCTGAAGAACTTCATGAAATGGGGTTTCCTGCTGTCAACTTGTAAAAAATAATCTTGATTTGAGTGCAACAGCTTTAACCTAATTAGAAAAACTCTTCCCATGTGAATACAGGGGGAGACCGTGTCCCATGGCAGTAGAAAGTGATGTCAAGCAGTAGAGCTGGTGCCAGGCTGTTCATCCCTCAGACTTCTTAGTGATAGGATCTGTGTGTCTGCAGTTCTTTTTCGTGGCACTGTTTGCTGGACAGGCCCAGTGTCTCTTGATTCATGCCCTTTTTCGCCATTGATTCTTTTTTTTTGGTCGGTTGTGGGGCCTGAGCTCTGGGCTTGAGTACTGTCCCTCAGCTCTTCAGCTCAAGGCTAGTACTCTAGCGCTCTACCACTTGAGCCACAGGGCCACTTCCGGCTTTTTCTGCTTATGTGGTGCTGAGGAATCGAACCCAGGGCCTCATGCATGTGAGGCAAGTGCTCTACCACTAAGCCACCTTCCCAGCCCTCGCCATTGATTCTTACGCCATGCTGTGCATTAAAATCATCTGTGAAACTGGAGGTGCCTGAGCTTCACATCCAGCCATTTCAGATATTTGGGATGGATTCAACTGTCTGTGTTTGTAAAGTGAGGTCAGGTGCAGTGGATCACACTTCCAATCCCTAGCTACTTGGGAAGTGGAGACTAGGAGAACTGCAGCTCAAGGCTAGTTCAGACAAAAAGTTTACAACACCCCCATCTTAACCAGTCATCTCTTCTGTACTGGAAGTATAAATAGGAGGATCATGGTCCAGTCTGGCCTGGCCATAAAGTTAAGACCCTATTCAAAAATAACATAACATAAGCTAAAAGAATGGGAGGTATGGCTCAAGTGGTAGAGTGACTACCTAGTGGACACAAGATCCTAAAGTTTGGCTGGGATTGTGACTTAGTGGTAAAGTGCTTACCTAGCATGCATGAAGCCCTGGGTCCGATTCCTCAGTACCACATAAACAGAAAAGGCTGGAAGTGGCACTATTGCTCAAGTGGTAGAGTACTAGCTTTGAGCAAAAGAAGCTCAGAGACAGTGCCCAGGCCCTGAGTTGAAGCCCCAGGACTGGCAAAAAAAAAAAAAAAAAGATCCTAAGGTTCAAATTCCATTTTTTTTTTTTTTGGTCCGGTCATGGGGCCTGAACTCTGGGCCTGGGCACTGTCCCTCAGCTCTTCAGCTCAAGGCTAGCGCTCTACCACTTGAGCCACAGCACCACTTCTGGCTTTTTTCTTTTTGCTTATGTGGTGCTGAGGAATTGAACCCAGGGCCTCAGGCATGCAAGGCATGCGCTCTACCACTGAGCCACCTTCCCAGCCCCTAAATTCCATTTTTTTAAGGTTAGGTTTCCAGGTTATTGTGATGTGTAATCAGGGCCGAGTACCCAGAAATGAGCTGAAGTTTTTCCATGACAGCTGTAACTCAGCTTTATCCTCGATAATCATACATTTAGTTTTTAAAAGGCAAATTTGGAAAGAGGGAGAAAAGGACTGACATTGTCCAAAAAGAAATGTACTCATTACCTGACTGATGTAACTAACTAACTCCTCTGTATGTCATTGCCTTTACTTATTTCCAGATGTATGTAAAGGTGACCCCACTGTATATCACCTCTAAAACAACAGTAAAATAAATTGTATAAAAAGAAAATAAAGAAGTTCCCCCTCAATAAAGCATTTTATTAATACAAAAAATTTAACAATTAAGAGGCAGAATTGCTGATGAGTTAATATTAGGGAACTGCTCACCTCAACTTAATGGAAGAAGACCTTATCAAATCTTCTTTCATGATTGAGTCCATTGGGTCATTCGGTAAATATTTTCTACAGAGTAGATGAGTGCATTTCATGCTGCTATAACAACATACCAATTTGGTTGTTTATGATATCAGAAATGTATTTGGCTAGTAGTTCTGGAAGCTGAGAAGTATAAGATTGAGAGGCTACATCTTGCTAAATGGTGGAAAAGCCAACCAAGCTCTTTTATAATGTATTAATCATTCATGAGCACCTCCCACTAAGCCCCCCCCCCCAACACTGTTGCATAAAACTTCCAACACATTCAAAGCATGGCAAGGAGACATTAGGAGGGACATAACTGAACTCTTAACTGTTGTCACTGTCCTAGGAAGCCAGACACTCTTAAAACAGGAAAGTGGTTTTTCAAGGCAGTAAAGATACAAGTGAGTGAACCCAAATGACAGTGGCTGACAGCTCCAGAGATGGGAAAGTCTAATGAGAATATGGTTATTCTTAGGCCTTCCTACAAAGAACTCAGCCTGGGCAACAGAGGGATAAGAGTCCAGGTGCACGGTGTGACTGGTGCCCCTGAGCTTCTGGTGTTCTAGGGAAGGGACAGATAGGCACTAGGATGGATTCCAGGTGGAAGGCACAAAGAGGCCAAGGACTTGAGCTGCGGAGCAGTGGTGCTCATCAGGGAGAATGGAAAATAAAGCAGATCATTTGTGTAGGCCAGGCTCTGGAGCCAAGTAGAGCAGCTGGCCTTCCATCTCAAGACATATGAACAATTTTAGCGTAGGAGAAACATGGTAAAGATTTGCTTAGGTCACCAGCTCTTCTGCTAGTACTGCTGCAGGCCTGATGGAAAGGCTCTAGCAGTCAGAGCAGTGCTTGATACACAGTCAGCCTCCTTGTCCCAGGCATTTAAGATGGGCTCAGGCGCTGGCCTGTGGCTTCCTCTGGATGTAGATGCAACAATTTGAACATCAACCTATTGTCATCCTCCTTCCTAGAGAGGAAGGAGATGGTGCAGTGACTTGTAGTGCATTGGAGAGGGTGGTACACTGGAATGTGGACTTGGGGCAGATGCTCTAACCTTCCCCTGTCTTGATGACAGGTATCAGTGCTGCAGAATCAGGGCCGAGAGATGATACTTGTGACTAGCGGAGCTGTTGCCTTTGGCAAGCAGCGCTTACGCCATGAGATCCTTCTGTCTCAAAGTGTGCGACAGGCTCTGCATTCAGGACAGAACCAACTGAAAGAGATGGTGAGCGCTGTTTTCCCAACCCTGAGACAGATCTATCCTTGAGTCTTCTTCCCTGTCCCAACCACACTTTATCTGATTGGTGGATTACAGGCAATTCCAGTCTTGGAGGCTCGAGCCTGTGCTGCCGCTGGACAGAGTGGGCTGATGGCCTTGTACGAAGCCATGTTTACCCAGTACAGCATCTGTGCTGCCCAGGTAAGAGAATGGGTATCCCTAAGGGCATAGGACCTGTGAGAGAGTCTTGTGAAGCAAGAGGCTTATAAACAGAGGTCTATAGCCTCATGACAGGATATAATAGTCTCAGCCTTATCACTCCCTAACACATGAGGCGTCTTCTAAGTGTTTTCCTGATCTGAAAAATGAGGATATTGGTGCCTGCTTCACTGAGTTTTTGGAAGCACTCAATGAGAAAATATATGAAAAGTATTCAGGACAGTACCTAGTAGCAAGTGTTTAGCTGCTGAACATAGAAAGTCAGATGTCACTGGGTGCTGGTGGCTCACGCCTGTAATCCTAGCTACTCAGGAGGCTGAGATCTGAGGATCATAATTCAAAGCCAGCCCAGGCAAAAAAGGCCAGACTCTTATCTCTAATAAGCCACCAGAAAACTGGTGCTGTAGCTCAAGTGTTAGAGTGCTTGCCTTGAGTTGAAGAGCTGAGGGACAGCTATCAGGCCCAGCGTTCAAGGCCTACAACTGACCAAAAAAAAAAAAAAAGTAAGTCAGACGTCCATTTTGCTGGCCTTTTTGATTTCAGATAACTTGCTTCTCTTGACACCTGGTTGTATTTTATAGTAGGTACTTGTTAAGCTTTGGAAAGAGAAATGCTAATTATTAGTTGGCCTTTCATTTGTAAGGGAAACATTTATTGGGCACCTGTAGTATACCAACCAGTCTGTGAGCATGGGGGATACTGTGGTAAACCAGCTAGACAAGATTCCAGTTCTCATGGCACTTAGAAATTTTGAGTGATTACCTCAAAGTTTATTTCTACATTATTTCATTATTAAATTTCCTGAAATGTTTTCAACTGTATTTTATTCGGCAGTTGAGGTATGTACTTACATTCACACAGAAGTCACTTCATAGCACAACTGGAAAAACAATCTTTACTCCCTGGATTATTTTCAAACCCTCATGCTGTTTTTCGTACTCTGGTCAGATGTTATTTTACATAGGCAAAATTGTTCTATATACATTGATTCTCATTTTGGGTTTTTTTTCTCTTGGGGAGGCAGGATTTGGGAGAAGACAGAACTTGGGGTTATACTTGTTAGGTAGGCTCTACCACTGAGCCTACTTCTCCAGCCTCTTTTGAGGTAATATCCTTTTATGTCCTGTTTTCCCTGGCTTTGATCTTTCTACTTGTGCTTCCTTATATCTCTGGAATTACAAGAACACTCCACTGCACCCAGCCACTAGTTGAGACAGAGTTTGAATTTCTATTCCCAGCTGACCTTGAATAGCGTCTTCTCAAGTAGCCAGGATTACAAGCTTCTGCTACCACTCTTGACTGTTTCAAGTTTCATGTCTTCCTTTCATGTTGTTTTTCTGGTTCTCCATCGTTTTCACAGTTGTCACCTTCAATGTCTAGTAATAGAAAGGCCTGGGTTTGTCTCTTTGTCACTTGAGGTTATAATCTTAGTGTTATTTGTTGGTGGTGGTGTTAGTATAAATACAATAGAAGCTGAGTGCTGGTGGCTCATGCTTGTAATTCTAGCTACTCAGGAGGATGAGAGCTGAGGATCGCGGTTCAAAGCCAGCCCAGGCAGGAAAGACCATGAGACTCCTATCTCCAATAAACCATCAGAAAACTGGAAGTAGCTCTGTGGCTCAAGTGGTAGAGCGCTTGGTTTGAGCTGAAGAGTGCAGGGATAGCGCCCAGGCCCAGAGTTCAAGCCCCACGACCAACAAAATAAATAAATAAATACATACATACAATAGAAATCTTTATTTCTATCACCTATGTTTTCAACTCTCTCTTCTCCACAATCCAGTGACACTTTGAGTTTTTGTTGTTGTGTTTTGTTTTTTTATGTGCCTAAAGTCAAGTGTGGGAACTTAGATCCAGGAGCTATGCTTTTTTACTATCAACCCCCCCCCCCCCCAGGATTGATGCTTTTTGAGAGTTTTTGTTATGCTGTTTGAATTGACCATAGCACTAAATGCCAGTGCGTAGCAGCTAGTGTTTGCCCTAATAGCAAGGTGGAAAGAGCTCTGTTCCCTCCAGTTGCCAGCAAGCACCAATGCCTGGGGCCCCTGCTCCCCTGCTTTGCCCTTCCTCTCCTGCCGTCATCTTCTTATCAGTCTTCGCTCTTTGCACCTTATCCTATGGCCCCATGTTTTCTTTAGTGGACTTGTATAGATGACTATTATCACTAGCTTTTGAAAACTACTCAAGTTCCCTCCACCCCCTCAAGCTGAGACTTAAGTACAGTAACTTATTTCTGCTTCTTAGAAGTGAAACTGCATTGTACACATAAATTAATAAGTTGTACAACTGTTGGAAGTTTTGTTGTTGTTGTCGTCGTCGTCATTATTGTTGTCGTTGTCAGTGGTGGGGCTTGAACTCTGGGCCTGGGCGCTGTCCCTCAGCTCTTCAGCTCAGGGTGAGTGCTCTACCACTTGAGCCACAGCACCACTTCTGGTTTTCTGGTGGTTAATTGGAGATAAGAGTCTCATGGACTTTCCTGCCCAGGCTGGCTTTGAACTGAGATCCTCAGCTCTCAGCCTCCTGAGTAGCTGGGATTACAGAGGTGAGCCACCAGTGCTTGGCTGTGTGAAGATTTTAAAAAGACCTAAACTGATTTGCATCTCAGCTGGTTGGCCTAGTCTGGGCACAAATTTCTCATCTGCCTTTGGAGTGAGATCGTTAGCCCCTGTTTATGAAACTGTTCTAGTGACAGACTAGATCTTTAGACCTCTGCTTGCCTCTCTCACCTACATATTATATTCATTGTCTGGTCTTACACCACATGACTGAAATCTGTATGCTCAGCTTTGACTCAATCCTGTTTCCTATGGAGCTAAACCTTTCTAGAAAGTAGTTCGTGATCTTTCCTTATAAAATAATATGCTGCATTCCATCATTTCCCAAATCAGCAGCTGGCACAGGGCTGGCATTTCAAAGGAACTCAGCAAATTTTTTGTCTAATTAGTGAGTAAATTATTTCCCCCAGTCATGTTATCACTTTATTCTCATCACCCCAACTCTAGTATAGGACTTAACCATCCCTGCTCTGAATGTTTCAATACCCTTCTTCCCCTCAACTCACTGAGGTCTCTGCTGCTTCAGCTGCTACATTATAGCAAGGCCCTTCCTCTTAAACACCAATGAACAGTTGTTCTTGAGATTCAGGATTTACTACCATTTTGTTTCTTGCTATCCTCTCCTGTTAAACTTTTCCTAAAACTCTGATTCAAGCTAGAAAACATACCTTCTAACCAGCCCCTCCCTCAGCTTGTGACTAAAGGCTCACTTTCAGAATCCCGCATCCTCAAACAGTTCTTCCAAAGCATAATGCTCTGCTTCAGAGCAGGAACATCGATAAAATAGTGCTATTCCATGTTGTCTAATGCACTTTTCCATGAAGGCCAAACAGTTCATTCACTCACTCATCAGATATACAAGTGTTTACTATGGCTAGATACAGAAATATTTTTCAAATTAATAGACAGTCACTAATCCTCTCGGTGTCCCTTTAAAGATATATCAGTTTTCCTAGTTTTGTTAAGTGGATGAAATTTGATAACATCTGTAAATAAATCTTCCAGATAATTGTAACTTGGTGGGGAAGAGGGGCAGAAGGCCTGAAAGAACTGGATAAGCATCAGGAGTTTTCTGGTTTTTGTTTTGTTGTCAGTCGTGGGCTTGAACTCTGTCTAGGCACTGAGCTCTTCTACTCTACCCCTTTGAGCCACCTTGCCACTTCCAGTTTTCTGATGGTTAATTGGAGATAAGAGTCTCACAGACTTGCCTGCCTGGGCTGGCTTTGAACTGCAGTCCTCAGATCTCAGCCTTCTGAGTAGCTGGGATTACAGGTGTGAGCAACCAGCACCCAGCTCTGAAAATATATTTCATTCCAGTCTGTGTGGAGTCCAAAAGTCTAAAGTTTGTCTCCCCGGTTGTGAGCATCTTATATGTTATTTGTAGGAAGTTCATCAGGCTCATTACATTTCATCCTTACTACATTTTGTATTTTTTTTAATCCTTTTAGATTTTAGTGACCAACTTAGATTTCCATGATGAGCAGAAGCGCCGGAATCTCAATGGGACACTTCATGAACTCCTCCGGATGAACATTGTCCCCATTGTCAACACCAATGATGCTGTTGTACCACCGGCCGAGCCCAACAGTGATCTGCAGGGGGTAAATGTGGGTAAAGTATTCTTCAGGGTTGAGCATGCTGGCAATACTAATGCATACTGCGCTGCATGTACTAACACTGCTAGTTTGGCATGAGCAAGGTGGCGGAATTGGGAGAGAAGAGGCATCACAGACTGTCCCTATAGGAGCTCTTCTGAGATTGGGGAATTTCACTCCCTGGGTGAGGCAGTGTCTTAGGCTGCGCTGTGAGCATTGCTTGTGGGCCAGTGGATAGAAGGCTGCATGTCTGGAATTGGGGTTGCCAGTAAGTATTTATTGTAAGTTTTTCAGGCAGAAGGGTGGGAGCTGTCATCCACCTCCTCAGGGTCATTGGTTTTGCCTGCCAACCTAGCAGGATGGTTCTGGGAATTTCTTCTTTTGGACTGCATAACTCACTCACTTGCTGCTCTTTTCCCTGCATTCTAGGTTATTAGTGTTAAAGATAATGATAGCCTGGCTGCCCGTCTGGCTGTGGAAATGAAAACTGACCTCTTGATTGTGCTTTCAGATGTAGAAGGTACGAAGTCAGACCTTCCTTTTACCTTCCTGCGTGAATACATGAGTGTCCCTCCTTGTCTGAGGCCTTTCACCTTTTTTTTTTTTTTTAACAGCAGTTACTTTCTGAGCCTATATGTCTAACAAAGAGTTTTTGTGACTCAAAGAGGGTGGGTCAAGTCTGGAAGATGCAATTTGAAGGCTGAAATCTTATTTCCAGGTGCTTTTGAGATTTTATACCAGTTTTACAAAAACAGAATCCACTTGCTATGCAACTGACCTATTTCAAATGTACAGTTCAGCAATCTTTAGTGTATTTAGACACTCATGCAGCCATCCCAGCAATCAGTTATGGAATGTTATTATCACGCCAACAAGGAATCTCACATCCCATTAACTGATGTTCCCAGCTTTTACCAACTCCCCAACCTTAGATAGTGCACAGTCTCTCTCTCTCTCTCTCTCTGTGGATTTTCCTGTTCCCTGACACTGTATAAATGAACTATATCTTCATCAACATCACCTCTTTCAACATTTTTACCCATCCCTCCTCCATTCACCCATTCCCTCCATTTCCTTTTATTGGTAAATAATACTCCACTATGGATATGGTACATTTTGCTTATACATTCAACTATTGGTGGAAATTTGTGCTGTTAGGAATAATACTTCTGTGAACATTCATGTAATTAGGGGCAAGCATGTTTTTATTTCATTGAAGAGAATTGGTCGGGGGGTAAAGCTCAGTGGTAGAGTACTTGCCTATTATACACAAGTCTTGAGTTCTACCCCCAGCACTTCAAGAAGAGAAAATAGAATTCTTGATTCATATGGCAACTGTGTCTACAAAGCCTTCTTTGGAACCACCACATTTGTCACAGCACTATTTTAAATTTCCATTAGAAATGTATAAGAGTCTTAGCATCCCTGTCAATAGTTGTTGTTATCAGCTTTTTTGTATTGTAGGCATCCTAATGAGAAAGAAATTGGTACTTCTGTAAATCAAAGGGTTTTTTGTTTTGTTTTGTTGTTGTTGTTGTT